TCAGTTTGAAGTAGACACATTTCATATGCTCAGTCACATGTGGTTAGTGGCTGTCACACATGATTGACCAGTAAAAACATAATAAGCATTCAGATGCTAAATAAGAGTGCTATCTAAGGACATGGCATTATAGCATATCTACATACATGGAAGTGTCCAGATATTGGGGCCTTAGTAATATTCGTTTTATCCTTTAATTCCAGGAAGCTCTGCCAGAGTACAAACAGCCCTGCATATCTGAATAGTTCTTTGGGACTTAATAGAAATCTTGCTTATCTTTTTCCTTTAGAATCAGTTCTCCAGAGAAAGGAGAAAATAAATTCAATATGAAAGGTAGAAAATAGGATATAAAGAAATTCCAAGGAGTTCTAAACCCTAGGAAATGAAGTCAACATTCAGGCAGAGAAATAGGAATTTATTTTCAATGTAACCCATAGTACTAGGTAAAAAGCATGATATTTGTGGGTGAAGACCACTCTGCCTTGATACACTTCCTGGGTCTTTTATATTGTTTTCATTATGAATATATTTAGTAGTGGAGAGAGCAAACAATCCTCCACTGCCAGAAATTATGCAATCGACTTTCCCACATCTTGGGACATCATAGGGTTCAGCAAAACTCTAGTACAATGAATAAGCCTCCCCCTGGGGAGACCGTCTTCACGATCATGGTATCACTCGTGCTGTTCCTGAACTCTGCCCATGCTTTAATAAAGACCAAGTTCAGAGTAAAGATCTCATTTGAAGTTCAGGATTAGGCCACACTAGACCTTTCACAGGTGAAAGATTTATCCTCCAGTAAAAGTGGCTAAGCCCTTTTTCCCACTGATATTTTAAGTCCAAAATAGTGACAAAACAAATACTTACAGGAAATACTTACCAGAAATACTTTAAAGAAATTTAAGTGCAGGTCATATATATTCATTTAAACACTGAAATTTCTTGTATCTTTCTAAAGTGTAGGAAAGAATCCTTTCACATATGTCAAACAAGCTAACTAGAGGGTCCACATGGAGATTGGAGGAAACAATAAAATATTTTGCTTCTCTCTTGCAACAAATTTTGTTCTTAGGACACTGAAGGGAGAAACTGATGCTCTAGGTGGGTAGTGAATCCTTTTGCGGCCTGTGAACTGAAATTAAAATATGGTTATACAGCCCCTTAACCAAACTACTCCAACAGAGGACTTGCCTCATAGAACAATAGTCCTGTGGTTTCAATCACAGTGAGTCTTTTAAAAATAACTTATTTTTATTTTGCATGCATTTTAAATGTTTTGTCTGTGTGTATATCTGTGAAGGTGCTATATTCCCTGGAAGTGGAGTTACAGACAGTTGTGAGCTGTCATTTGGGTGTTGGAATTGAACTCAGGTCTCCAGGAAGAACAATCCGTGCTCCTAACGGCTAAGCCTTCTCTCCAGTCCCAGAGTGAGTGTCTTTCAAGTTTACCTGACATGCTATTGATTATGTTTTCCACTTTTAATTCTTGTTTGTGGTGTAGACTGGGAGGATTAGGATGGTTACTTTGACTACAGAGACTACTAGAACTTAAAACAGAATTCCCATTGGCTTGAAAATAATTGTACAGATGTGTGCTAGATACTTCTACTTACTACAGAAGATGTCAATTCTGTCATTCCATTTAAGAAAGTCCTCTTGGTAGAAGAAGGTAACAGGAGTGCCCTTCTCAGTGCTATGGTGGTGGTAGTGGGAGATGGTCTTGAAATATTGTTCCGAACTAGAAATTTGACATCCCGTTTTGTTTCTTGAGAGCTATCACTCCTAAAGCAGACTCATTATCTGTAGACTTGAGGTAATTAAGATCAGAAGCAAAGCGATAAGAAATGAAACCGGCATGCATAATGCAGATGTATAAAGAGGATGGTATTACCAGGAGTCCAGGAAGTAAGCTAATCAGGTTTCAATCAGAAGCTCATCATTGGGAGAGAAAATTAATTCAGGATGGGAGGTGGGGAGGGAGGAAAAGCACACACATACTCTTCAAGTCTCTTTCCATATATCTTTTCTTTGGAGGGCAGCAAGCCCTGAGATTTGTCCCCTGCACAAGATGTTGGCATACTATAGTCATGGCTGAAAGTTTGCTCATTATCTCCTGTAGAGATGCCTCAAAGATGGTCTCAGTTCCAAACCCTGCTCAAACCAGCACTGCTGGAAACCTAAGAATCTGCATAGAAAATACAATGAGGTAATAATTTAAGGCATTTCCTAGCAGGTGTGCCCAACCTTTTGACATAAAACAACACTGTCACCTACAAAGTTCATGCTTGAGAGCCATGCAATTGATTTTGAAAGATAGCAAAAAAAACAACTTAAAATGCTTTAAGTAACTTTACAATTTTGTGCTGTTCCCCCCCCCCTTTGGGTGACTTTGCTATATGTGACGAACAGGTTAGACACAGCCATGATCTAGAACACCGCTGTACAGAAAACTCACCATCTTAGCCTATCGGGGACCTCATCTGCCTGGGTTTGTTGTACCCTGGGAAAGAAGGGGCTAAATAAAGGTTTCTGGATGTTCACTTACACATACCAAGTTCTGCTGCTATGAAGTATCTTTTCCTGAAAAAGAGAACCTGCCGAGAATGTTATTCATTTAATTACAATGCATGATTGTCATGTCTGAGTGCTTTTTCAGTTGCAAAGATATTCCTAAAACACATATCCCTGTAAGTTACAGTCAGATATGGGAAGTAATTTCTGGTATTCTATTGCACATGTGACTACTGTGTACTGTGCATTATAAAAGAACTAGGAAAAAAAGATTATGAATGCTTTCACCATAAGGAAATGTCAAATGTCTGAGGAGACAGGCTGGTTATTTCTGATATGAACATTACACTGTGGATACATATATTAAAATATCTCACTATGCATCCCTGGTTAGCCTGAGACTCACTATGTAGACCAGAGCTTGCCTTTGCCTCAAGTACTGAGATTAAAGATGTTCCACCACATTCAGCAGTCTGTATAAATTTGGTTACTTAGAAAAAACTCATATTCTATAAGAGAAACACAGAGAAATATGGTCATAGGGAGAATATCTATTCCCATCACCTCATTTATAGTCTTTTTTAAAAACCCACGTTTTTATTGAAAATAGGTCTGTTTTCATTCAATATATTCTGATCACAGATTCCTTTACCCCAACTCCCTCCCAGGTCCTCCCCATCTCCCCACCCTCCCAACTCCATTCCATTTCTTTCTTTCTTTAGAAAAAGACATAATTAAAAAAATAACACAAGAAACACACACACACACACACACATGACCAGAACCTATAAAAACACAAAACTGAAAGCCATAATATGTAAGTGAAAAACCAATAAGACAAAAGCAAAATATCCAAACAAGGTAATACAAGACAAAAAGTCTAAAGAACAAATACCACCGAGTTTGTTTTGTGTTGGTTATGTACAGAGCAGAGGTAGGGGCTACTGAGAAGGGTGAGGGCACTCTTCCCAGAACCTGCTGCACCTGGACAGCCTTACCCAGAACAGATAAGGGCTTTCCCCTTAACTGCATGTATGCAGCTCTGATTTAATCTTCCCCCCAAACACATACACAGTGTGTATGTATACTCTACATGTATACTCTACACATATACTCTACTCCCTCCTAGGCCACAAGCAAAGTTGCCAGTTTGTAGGGAACAGGTGGATACTCAGTTGGGGCTGGGGGCGCTGGGGATGTAAACTGTCAACAAGCCCAGATAGGAACTTTTTTTGGCAAGGGGCACAGCTGAATGTCTCAAGATGGCAGCTTCTTGGCCTGGGGGACAGTCAATCACCATAGCCCCCCCAAATTAAAAAAAACTAACATATGATCCTTCTGGGAATGTAGCCAAAATAAATAAAATCAAGATGTTTAAAAGACAACTGCATTTCTTTGTTCATTACAATAGCATTCTTAACAGTTGCAATAGGAAAAGAATCTAAATGAATAAAGAAACGTAGTATATACATGCAATGGAATATTAAACAACTCCCAAAAGAAGGAAGCTGCTACTGCTATCAGCACTTACATGAGGTATCTAAAATAATCAAACTCATAGACACAGACAGATACTGGTCGCCAATGGCTAGGGGGAAAACCATTGTTTCTAGATGGGTATGGAAGTTCAACTTTATACTGTGTACATTCTAGAGATCTGCTACCCAACATAGTGCATAAAAATGCTAAAAGAGTATTGAGACTTTAAGAGGGTAGTTCTCATGTTGTGTTCTTCTACAAAAAGAAAAAGAAGTAATAACAATGAAACACAATGAAGCGTTTTGAGGTGTGGCATCTCGCTTGTGGTGATAGTATCGTAAGTGTTTGCAAATGCCTAAATTCATTAATTGTACACATTCAATATGTGTGTTTTTGTGCAGCAATCATACTTCAACAAAGCTATGTTTTTTAAAAGAGAGACAACCTATAGCCATATCTTTGCAAACTGAAAGGACACCATCAGAAGCAAAGGAATTATTAAAAATAGCCCATATCTAGCTCATGTTCTCCAATGACCCCTTTCAACATGTGATAATTTCCAATCACAAAAGTAATTCATTTTGATTATATAAACATATGTTTACATAATGTTCACAAAAAGCTAAAGTCATCCTCATATTTTATATTATGGATCACCATAACACTCATGCTTATCTAGAATTTTATGCATATATATGCAATATAAATATCATATATTTATTATATATGTATATATCACATTTGTCTTTGTGTCTTAATAGCAGTACCCAGCAGCATGGCTTCAGTACACTGAGCAAATTCTTACACAAAATCAGTGTTTTCATGAACAGTTGTTGTATTGAAAGGCTCAAACTTAGCATTCTTAAATTTCTCATGCTATGGCAGGAATTTCCATCTTACATTAAAAATATATAATCACAAAAAACCACTTTCAATTTTGTCTTTCAAATGGGTCTTAAATTTTAAAAGAAGACATTTGAGGAATATACAAGAAATAAAATGCAAGAAAATTTGAAAAAATTAATTTATTATATGAAGAATCATAAACAATATTTCAACCAGTGACTAAGAGAAGCTGTCCACAAAAGCTCATATCCACAATCCATTGGCTGAGATGTACTGGCACACACAACCACACTAATGTTGTAAGATAGATCCCAAGGAAATGCTGTGTTATCAAGACAGTCAATGCTAATGTTTATTTTCCAATTTACAACATTGAACAGACCACATTCTCATTTAATTAATGGACTGAATAAGCCATTTAAGTTGTACTGTACAATCATCAAAAGATGCTGTTACATTCTTTATAAAATACAATATCAAGACCATAAACTTATTTGCCACCAGAAGCACTTTCTCAGATGCACTGGCTCTTTTTTTTCTGCTACATACTAAGGGCTTGGGGCTCTTTTAAAGTATTTATGCACTCATTGTGTGTGTGTGTGTGTGTGTGTGCATCACGGTATGCTTGTGGAAATCAGACAATCAGACAACTTGTGGAAACTGTTTCTCTCCTTCTACCTTGTAGGTCTCAAGGATGGGACTCTAAGTGTTGGGTTTGGTGGCAAGCACCTTTCCCTGCTAAGTCATCTCGCATGCCCTGAGCACTAAGTTTTGCAATCAACTGATGGTAACAGAGGGCAATTGCAGAGAAAAACAAAGACCTATATGTTCACTCAAGACACTGATGTGGGTGAAATTACTTATTTCATTTCAGACAGTAAATGACAAATCACAAACAATAACCTGTTTATGGACTTGAACAATAGAATAACTCTAAGTAATTTTGAAAAATCTTTTCAAAATGTTTAAAAAATAGTTTTGTATCTATTACTTAATGAAATCTTTCTAACAGGTCTGTGAGGTAACTTGAACAAGTATATCATCTTAATTTGGTGAGTGAGGAGACAGAGGAATAGAGTAATTAGGTGAGCTTGTGAGACTGCACAGGGAAAATGCCTATTTACCAAGAGACTCAAATAATATCCGGTTTGCTAAAAGAGAAAAAGCAGTCGTTATAAAGCTTGAACACTTCAGTGTCTGATAGTTTAGAACTATTAGTTTTGTTTGAGGTCATTCAAGATGCTTACCAACTGTCTAAAGTAAAGAAGCTTACAACATATTTGAAAATTAAGAGTTTAAAAGAATTTTGAGCCATGTTTCTAAACCAGTCTGTAAAAACACAAGTGTCCTCGTTCTTATCTAATTCTGAACCTGCCTAATAAGTGACAAGCTGGTAGCTGACTCCAGTCTCAGTGGCAAGGCGTAACCTGAAACTGGAAAAGGGTATCACACCTCTACCCCCCCGAGTCACTGTGGACCTTCAGGGAAAGGTGGTCTTTCACATTAAAGAGTAAAAACACGATGAATAATGGTGTCTGTAAACATAACGAAGTCATTTGACAGAGGAAAGTATTTTGGAATGACTTAGGAACAGTCTTCCAACTCTCATTTTGAACACCTTAAATTATGAACTAACCAAGAGTGCTTTAGCATTTGAACTTTGGTTTACCTGGAATTGTTATATAATTTCAAAGACATTTTCCCTGTATTACAGATTTGTACCTCTAAATATGAAAAGTACAAAGTACAGAGAAATATCTGCTGTATAAAGTATCATTTTGATGATGTATGCTAACTTTATCTAGTCCTACTAAAAACAGGAAAAGTGGTACACGGATCAACAGAGAACAGACAACCTTAAGTTTCATTTTTAAATGTTAAAAGCAGTCAAAATGACTCCAGGCAGTGGTGGTGCATGCCTTTAATCCCAGCACTCGGGAGGCAGAGGCAGGCAGATCTCTGTGAGTTCGAGGCCAGCCTGGTCTATAGAGGGAATGAATGCCTGTCTCAAAACAAACAAACAAACAAACAAACAAACAAAAAGTAGCCAAAATGGATGTACTGCCTGTGGATTCTCATAAAATTAAACTAGAAATACTGACAAAACAGGAGAATTACAAGTGAGGAAAAATGCCTCATGAAAGTAAAATGGACATTCTACAGTTTTGAGCCTTACTGATGTATATGAATATAAAATAGTATAAATATTAATAGTGTGAATACATATCAAAGAATATTTACTGTTTCATGAATCCTCTAGTATAGTTTATTTACCAAATTAATTTTCATCTGTTCATGAAATTAATCATCAATTTGATACCAAAAATAGTCAAAAAGCAGGATAGCCAGGTAAATGTGTTTTATGAATTTATGTGGTCAGAAAAGTAAATGTCCATAAACAGAGGTACCTTTGAAAATTTCTTAAATTATGCTACAACTCTCATTTTAAATTGGTGTGAACTTTATGGTCGGCTGTTTATAGATATTTTATTATTTTAGTGGTAGAAATAATAGCACGGGTTACAGGCATTTTCTTCAGACTACTACTAATATTCTACCAAACCCTTTTAAACAATAATAAATAGTTCCAGATTAAAGAGAAAGTACAAGAAGATAAAATGAAGATCTTATTAAAATTAACTCATAATAATGTCAAGTCAAAATGCATTTCATAAAGAACATCATGTGCTCATCTCACTAGTTTCTATAACTTAAAATGTTTCTAATTAGGGGTGCAGTGAGGAAATCACTTCTTTTTCTTCAAGTCATGAAAACTAAAACATCTATGTACTTGAATTGGGGAAGATATTTCTATAGGGCTTTCTAGAAACAACAGCAAATGGACTGAGGTAAGTCTTGTTAAAAAAATTTCCTGGCAGACGAGGAAGGGGGTGATAGGAATGAAAACTCTTAGTTTTCTTTTCTTTTTTCTTAAATACATTAATCTTAGAAAATTATACTAGATTTGTCCCACAGTTATAGGACAAGACTGAGTTATCAGGACAATTGAGCCTACCGTCTAACCAATTCATATCTTCAGACAGTTCTATCTGTATAAACTTCCATCATTTTGATATTCTCTGAAGCTTTCCTAAATAACACTACCAATGGATCCTAGGGAATAAAATTCCCAAATCTAGGCTCTTGAAACCAATACATATTGCATTCCAGTGTGGCTACAGTTGGTTATGTACAAAAAATCTTAATGAGGTGAAAATGGAACACACTGATAAAACAAACTTGAACAGCTCTCCCTGTAAGCTATGACAGCAATGAGGTTGTAAAATCCCTAGCAACCTATTCCAACTATCATGGTGACTTCTGTATAAAGCTCTATTTAGTAGCAGTAAAGCACCAGGCTACTGGGACAACAGTGTAGAAAACAGAATTTTTCTTTATTACATCCGATGAATATAACCAGCTTAACTGAAACTTCAGGGATACTGTGTCAATGAGATGGCCAGTAAGGCCTGCAAGAACGTAACAGAATCAACTGTGAAACAAACTGTGGGGTAGTAGGCTTCCCTAATGCTCCCCATAGCTACCTCAAATCAAAGAGCTCTTATAAAAGGCAGCAGCTCACAAGGAATTGACAGCTAGGTTTCTGCCTTATTCCCTGTGTTGGGCTCATTCCTTGTATGAAGAATAGTTAGTAATCCGGAATACAATATCCCCTTCTTGTGAGAAGCCTCAGGTTCCATTAAGCAGATTACAGATCAACAGCACTCCACACCTCAGAAGAACTTACTCTACTGGTAGAAGGTCTTACATCTGGATCTTTACCTTGACCTTGATCTTGCTCTGGATCTGGATCTTGTTCTGTGCATGACTTTAAGTCCTTGTCCACCTTTACTACTGACGCAGAGGATTTTCTCCTCATATTGGACAGACAGACACCCCTGAGACATGACCTAAAGCTTTCAGAGACACTGGAAGAAAAGAGTTTCTTGCAAGGGTGGAAAAACTGATAGAACACAAGCATGAAAAGAACACCAGTGCAGTATGCAATGAGCAGCTGCAGAATCAACAGAGGTGCACACACATACATGTATATGTCAGTTTTGAAAAAATACCAAAGGAGCAGGAGGACAGAATTCTCGATGAATCGTGTCATGTAGTAAATCAGCAGCCGGTACCAATTCTGGGATTTGCTGATGAGGTCAGGATTGTCGATTTTGAGCTGTACAGCTGACCAGCAGAACATGTTGATACCAGCATAGAGCAAAGTGAGGAAACACAGTACGATGGTGGTGCCCACCCTACTCAGGGCCTTCTCAATGTTCTCGGGGAATGGGGAGCCACTGAGCCAGAAAAGGATCCAGGGGTATAAGAAGAAGCTGAAGAAATTGACAAGTATGACTGCCACTACCCAGATCTTCAGGACAGAGGTAAAGAGGACCAGGATGATAACGCGAGTGGCAATTTCAAAGCTTCTCCATAGGAAGATACATACATAGGCCAGGGGTTTGACTTTGACCTCATACTCATCATACTTGATTTTGATGGCTAAGATGTTGCAACGTAAGGCTCCATACACAATGGACAACAGGGACAAGGTCATGATGACACCTGAAGAGAGAAGAGAAAAAGCACTGTCAATTTTCACATCCACCAGGAATCCTATGGTCAATGTTCTGCCATCTCCCACCCACAGGCCTTGAATTCCTCTGTATTACACATGTAGGCTGACTTTCACCTGTTGATATCTGAGACTGCCTGAAGACTTTTTCCAGATTTACAGAAGGATGCTACACAAACGTTGCTGTTAGGCTGATGCACCAGGGAATTAAGATCCATGGGTGAACCCCTCAAAAACTCAGGTCTATCCTGAGTAAGAGCTAGTTTGCTCACCTGTTGTATAGAATAAGTATGAAGAATGTGCTCTGTGCTATTTCCCAGTGTTTACTCGTAGGCTTCAACTTCTAGTCACCTACTTGTGATTTCTGTCTCATCCCCTTCTACCCCTCTGATTTCTCTCATGCCTGTTATACATTCCCTTCAAATGTATGCCTCAGCTCCTCAGGGTTTTCTTCAGAGGCAACTCAGACTGAAACTCATTCCTAATACTAATCTTGGTCAATGAGAATATAAAGAGTCCTTTACAGAATGTGTTTTGTTTTCTCAGTTGGTCTACCAGTTCCTGCCGAGTCAAGACCTATGTCTAGCATTTCTTCTTCCTATTTGAAAAAAAATACTTATTTTATTTTATTTATATGTATGCCTGTTCAGTGGCTCCAACAGAGGCCAGAAGAAAGCATCCAATCCTTTGGAGCTGGAGTTACATGATGTGGGTGATGGGATCTGAACTGTGATCCTCTAATAGAGCAGTGTTTTTAACTGCTGAGCCCTACCTCTGGCCCCTAGTATATTTTCTTGATGTCGCTCAGTATATTCCAGTAGTAGGCACAACAGAAGACACTCAATAATAAATTACTCAGGATGTTTTGCTTTATCATAGACTGTTTTAGATGCTGACTATAGGAGTTCAGTTGCTTTCATTCTTAGAGTGCTGAAAAGGAAACAAATCTTGTTTCTTATCAAGAGTCAACATGCCTTGAACTGAAAGGTTTTAACATTTAGAGATGTCTCAACTCTAGGTGTTTATTTCTTTAAATGTCTTATGGCAAATGGGTGGATCCAGTACTTATAAGCAGTGGCAGTTTGAGGATACAGGATGTGGCCCATTTAAATGGAGCACTGTATAATGTTCCAGATTATTATACAGTAAGCCTTAGTTCTAGTATCTAATAAATATATAACCACTTAGAGTCATGGGTACAGAAATGCAATCACTTATTACAGGATGCTGCTATCTGCACCCATTAGCATGAAGAGGAATGGGAGAAAGGCTATAAATTAGGAACCCTGAGTCTGACTCTTGGTTTGACTTCTGCCACATCACTCTGTACAAGGAAAATGGCAACCTCCCCATCCTCTATTTTCTCAACCATAAAATAGGAATTATGATACCTTCTAGTTGATTCTTCTTTTTAAAAACTGTCTTGACATATTTTTATTTATTTTAGAGCAGCTTTGGGTTCATAGCAAAATTGAACAGAGGGAACAAAGAGTTTCCATATACCTTCGACCCACACACATGCCCAGCCTCAATTGTTATCTTTATCATTCAGCAGAGTAGTGTATACACCACAACTGATGAACCTATAGACACATCATTATCACTGAAAGTGAAGTTTACATTAGGCTTTACTCTTGTACATCCTATAGAATAGGGTACACATATTAATACATGTGTCAGACATTGTAGAGTAGTCTCACAGAGAGTAGTTTCACTGCCCTGAAAATCACCAGTTCTCGGTACAGTCATCCTTCCATCCTCTGAAGTGATCTTTTTATTGCCCTCATAATTTTCACATTTTTCTAGAAAGTTATATGATTAGAATCACATATTACATGGGCTTTTCAGATTAGTTTCTTTCACTAAATTCTATAGTTACGTTTTCTACACTATATAGATATCAACTGAGACTGACACCTCACTTTTTTAGTGAAGAATAATATTCCACCGTCTGGTATGCTAGTTTATTCATTTATCGACTGAAACATATTTTGGTTGTTTCTAAGTCATGACAAATATGAATAAGGTTGCTACAAACACCCACATGCAGGCTTCTGTGTGGACATTTACTTTTTCTCTCCTTTGGAAGAAATACAAATGTAGTGATTGCTGGATCACATGGTAAAATATTTCAAGATTGTAGGAGACCGCAGAACTATCTTTCCCAGTGGTGATCTCATTTTCCATTTCCACCGACAATGAATGAGGATGCATCTGTTTTTCTGGATCCCCACCAGTATTTGGGGTTGTCAAAGTTCTGTGTTTTAGTTAATATACTTAAAGTGTACCACACAGTATCCTGGAACATAAAATTTTAATGATATTACACATACAATCCCATCATCAAACCCCAGACCCCTGAGATTCTCCCATACTATCTTCTAGCTTATACCACTTTGTACTTTCCAGAGTGAAAGCTCTGTGTTTAGTCACACTTTGAAGTTATTCTATGGGGATATTCTATGGGGGATATGCAGTTATTCTATCACCAATTGTTGAAAATATTATTTTCCGATTGTATAGCCTTTGGTCTCTTGTTGAAGATCAATAATGATGACTCTAAGGCAATTTAATTCTGGATAATATATTCTGTTCAAATGATCTATTATTCTACTCTTTTGCCAGTACTATACCACCTTAAGTACAATAGTTTTATCCATACCTGCCTCTTAAAATACACATCATTTATTTCTACATACGTACTAAAATACACATCATTTATTTCTACATACGTACTAAAAATATCTGTATCTAAATGGAACATAGAGGAAGGTAGTGAGATTTCTCAGTAGGTAAGGATTCATACCGCTAAGCCTGACAACTTGAGTTTGATTCCTGGGACCCACATAGCTGAAGGAAAGAACCAACTTTGTCCAAGTTGTCCTCTGATCTACATATGCACATCACAGTATGCATGTGAATATGCACATACACACTAACTTAATTAATTAAAATGATACATGAGAAGAAAGTTTTTCTCCTTAAATTCTGAGTCAACTGAAAAATTTATATATTTGATAGATCTAAAGACTCATATGCCTTAGCTTTTAATTTGCCCAAAGAAAGCTCAATTTTACAGAGGGAATCAACTTTACTCACAGTTTTTGATATAGATTTTAGTTATTATCATTCATTGAAAAGACTGACATCCACTAATAAGATCTAAAAACTACAAACATCATAGTCATAGTATACTAGGAAGTAATTGGACTGAGCTAGTTTTCTTGAGAGGCTAATTCAGTGAATACTTTAATGCAGAATATTTATGTGGTAGTTTGTGTGTGTGTGTGGTTACAGATGTCCACATCCTAATGCTGTAGTATTGAAGACTTTTCTTTTAGTTAACTACATTTTTTCACTACAAAAATACTATGTATGCAAAAAACTAGTCATACATTGTTAGACTGCAAATTATACAGTCAAACATATAGTTATGTTAAATTTATGATATTTAACCTGAAAATATGCATTGCATTAAACAAGATAAAAATTCTAATAATTTCTAGAATCTATTTTTTCTAGCAAGGTCAGCTATTTCCAAATAATATTCTTTTCTCCATCAAGAGAATTAAGCAAATCTCTGTTTTCTCCTGGTCTTAGGAAACCCCTGTCAAAGGGTTGTTTAATCACAAAGGGGTTGTAACCCACAGGTTGAGAATCACTGCTCTAAAGAAACAAAAAACTTACACTAAATGTTTGTGATAAATATGATAAATATTTCTGCTTCTAGAGGCAAGCTGTTATCTAGGAAATGAGTAGGAAAATGCTCATGTAAATACAAACATATCAACAAGGAGAAAGGTAGGTGTTGTGGAATATTTGTGTACACTGTGTGAAGTTGTGTAACTGTGATTGGTTTAATAAAGAGCTGAATGGCCAATAGCTAGGCAGGAGAGAATAGGCATAGTTTCCTGGAAGAAAGGGAAGGAAAAAAGTGGGGGAGACACCTCGAAGACATGAAACAAGTCAGACATGCATGTAAGAGAAGATAGAGTAACATAAGCAGATTAATTTGAGTTACAAGAGCTAGTTGTGACAAGGCCTAAGCAAAGGCCAAGCTTTCATAATTAATAAGAAGAATCTGTGTCATTATTTGGGGGCTGGTGGTCCAAATTTAGTCCAGTGAGAAACTTGCTACAGGCAGAAATAGTAGAACTCTAAACTTTGGCAAAGAATCTTCTCTACCTCTCCAGAGAACCAGACCTTGCCTGGTACCCTTCAGCCACTTCCTGTCCTTGTCTTCATCTTCCTACACTTATAGAGACCAAGTCTTTAAAAGCTCTCTGACATTATTTCCTAATCCTATCCACTTATAGTCTACAAAGAAGGGGGTCACTTAGCAATCTTGCTTATTTAAGTGGTTCTTTATCACAGTCTAATATCCTTTAACAATCCTAACCTCATCTTTTATCACAAGGCAAGACACAATTTTAGGTAAAAAGGTGAACTAAAAAGGCTTCAGCAGATCTAAACCCTTGCCACAATCTTGCTTCCTCTTACCTAATTCTAGTCCATTGAACTTCTGCAAGAATTCAGTTAGCTCAGAGAAACTGTCACTAGATATAAGAATTTGCTCACTTAACACCAAAGCCTTAGCCTTTATGCAAAGAGATGAAGACTATTTTCTTGTCCAGAGTTCTGCTTGGGGAAGGAATTATATCTGTAGGATGGGGGACAGTTTCTATGTGGCTGTCAATACATACCAAAGGCTGCCCATAAGACAGAGGATGGTAGACGGTGATTCTCTGTTATGTAACTGCTGTCTGAAGACACCAACTTTTCAGTAAAACCACAAAACTCATGAAATGCTTGGGTTCAACAGACTTTAATAAAATTATTGAGTTAGGATGTGCTGGTGTATGATAATAATCCAGGACAACTTGGTCAGAAGGACTGTAAATTCAACTAGACCCTGTCTCAAAATAATAATGGATTATGGGGGTGGAGCAAGAATGGCGAAAGCCTAAAGGGATATGAAGTGTAAAGATAA